AATAATCTATTTTTATGAATTATATATATATATATTATATATATATATATATATAATATATATATATATATATATATATATATATATATATATAATATTATAGTATATATATATATGTAAATTAGTAGAAAATCACTTAACAAAATTTTTTCTCATTTAACACTGTGTTTCATCAATAAAGACTCATTAGAAAATTGATATTTGATATAATTTCTACTAATTTGTAATTGCTCTGTTCTTTTAAGAACATTGAGCACTCTCTTTTGTAGAATACATTTTAAATTGTTTAAATATATATATATATAATATATATATATATATATATATATATATATATATATATAATATATATATTATATATTCTATATATATATTATATATATATATATATATATATATATATAATATATATATATATATACATATATAATATATATATATAAGAAGATTTATATCTCAACCAGATACAATAATAAACAACAATTGTTTTATGAAAAAACTAAAGGAACTTTTATTATGGATACAAAAATTCTAGCATGAATTTTTAATACAGATATCAGTTTTGTAAATGATATTAAAACTATACCTTGTAAAACACTCCATATATTTACAAGATTTTCTAAGCTTATCTTTTCCCAATTTCTTTTTCGATTTAATTTGGACTGTAACCGATTCGAAAATAACCTGATAAATATTTTAACAATAAACTGAAATATATTTATAAAGATTTTATTTTAATATATATGTAATAAATTAAAATATATTTTAATATATGAATGCTTAAAATTATGAAAGGCTAAACCATTAAATTTGAAAATAAAATGCTAAACCTTGTTTAGCATTACACTTACTTTAGCGCACAAACAAACTTAAACACCTACAGTGAAGCTGCCAAGTTTATCAAATTTTCATGTTAAAAGTAAATCCATAACAAATAATGGTCAAAATGAATTTCTTTTGGTCCCTTTTAATCATATTTCTAATAATTAATAAAAACATAATCATTTACCTTTTCATGATCAAAAAAACATGTTCTCTTGGCTTTCCACCACCAATCGTTTTCAAACTATCAAGCTGAAATAAATGTAATAAAAATTAGTGTAACTTAAATTTCTTTACAAAATATTGAGTCTAACACAAGCTAGTTATTTTAGTTCATTACAAATACTTTTCATTTAGATTCTACACTAATAAACCAAATTTAAACAAACTTATTAAAAATTTAGATAATTAGATTATACCAAATTAGTATACTCGGTTTTATCTTTTAGTTTATTAGCCAGTGTAACCACTTCGTCCACAGATTCTAGCAACTTCACCCCAGTAGCCTGAAACTTAATTTCTATAACTTCTTTAAAAAGAACTTTTATTTCTGCAAGCTCCTTAAGAATAACATTTTGCATCTCTATTAACAAGAATAAAATGATTAACATATTTAGCTCATAAAACCAAATAGCAAAACAATGAAATAACAACTTTAAAAAATAATCCACTTAAGTTATAGGTAAACCCGCTGAAAATAAATTAAACATTCAAGTTTTACAAAAATTCTTATTTAATTTTGACAAGTAAACAACAACTAATATTCAGATTTATGTCAAACCGTTACTGATAACTAGGGGTGTGGAGTTGTAAAAAAAAGTTTCAACTCCGACTCCAGTTATTGAAACTTTTTGAGTACAGCTCCAACTCCGACTCCAGTTGTTGAAATTTTTTGAGCACAACTCCGACTCCAACTCCAACTTGGATTACAACTCTAAAGCAATATTTTTGAAAAGTTTTTCAAATTCTTTAAAAAATATTACGAGATAAGTTAAAAATTTCTTTTTTGAAAAATTTATGAAACGTTCTTTGAGGTTTAGTATGAACATAAGGTTAATTGAATGTTTTGTACATGTACGTACAATACCGAGATGTTCTTCTATTGGAGTCAGAGTTGCGATTTTGTTTAGCGACTCCGACTCCACTGAAAATGTCTCAACCTCGCAACTCGGACTCCACAGCCCTGGTGACAACTTTCGTGTATTTTTCTATGGGCTTGGCTCAAGAGCAATTCTTGATATTTCCTCCTGTAAAAGGTTATCATATTAAAGAATTTTGTTTAACTACTAAAGGTAAAGTTGACCAAATGCTACACACATGATTTATCAGATCACAATATTATAAATAATCCATTTCTATTCTTTTATACCCATCTTTTACAATTATTTTAAAACAAATTAAAATAAATTAATAAAAAAGACCTCCACATTAGCATTCAGTGGTGTAAAAACCAAAAGTACTTACATTAAAACTTGAAAATCTTTGACAATGTGAACTTGCTTGGTTTTAATGTGTTCATCAATAAAATGCGAAGAAAAAACATCTTCTTCAATCTCTGAATCTGATAACAACTCTATTCAAAAGAAATAATTATAATTAGAACTATAAATAATCCCTCAACCATACCTGTTACTTAATTTAACCTTTCAACCAATTTTGAAATCTTTCAATTTCTGAATTCAAACAATTTCAGCATGCTTTCAATCAATTTTCAATTTTCATATCAAGTTGATTAAAGGATTATTTAATACAATAGAATGTTGTTAATGATGTAAATATATGTAACCAATTTAACAACATTACATATAATAGGACACCCAAATAGATAAAATAAAAGGAAAATAGATAGATATTATTCAGATCAAATTAAACAAGAATTTGTTTCAGTTTATAAACCATTAAAAAAAAACTAAGATATTTGTGTTATGCTTTTAGCATTAGGCTTAATCATAATAGGTGGCGGAAGTTCTGGCAATGAAGAGCGGTATGATTTGTTATTCTTATTTTTAATGCTTTCTTTAACATATGTCTCATCTGATGTAGAAAGTTGTATTCTTCACAACATGAAAATGAATCTTATTATAAAACATTTTGCTACAAAAAAGTAATTAAGTTACCTTTAAAAAAAACAAAAAATAAGTTAGATACTGACCATCTGTTATCTTACACTTTATCAATGGAAACTTGTGCCATTCTTTTGTTGATGAAAGGTTGTTTTTCATCAATTTTTTTTGCATGATTATAGTTTTTTTTTGGGACAATAAATTAGTTGCTATTCTTTGTCAATCCACTTGACAAAGAATAGCAACTTTCCTTTAAAGTTGCTATTCTTTGTCAATCCACTTGACAAAGAATAGCAACAATACTTTCCTTTAAAGTTGGGTTATGCATATACTCATTAAACTTTTGGTCATAAGAGTATTCATTGTACAAAATCAATGACTCATGATGGTCAAAATACTCTTTTAGATTTTTGCAAGATAATAAACCGTTTCTTTTAGAAGTTCCAACATTCGATTTTTTTCTATATGTACTGGTGAAAATTCTAGTATTTTTTAATATTCCTTTTGGACACGTCTACTGCGTCTCTTTTCGTAAGCCCTTTTTGTAAAAGACATAAATAAGTTTTGTTTCCTCGATAAAAACGATAAGTGCACAACCAATAAAACAATCTTTTGTGTTATTGAAAAACACTCATATATATATATATATATATATATATATATATATATATATATATATATATATATATATATATATATATATATATATATATATATATATATATATATATATATATATATATATATATATATATATATATATATATATACATATATTTTAATTACATTATCTTTTATACTAGAAATAAAAATATCAACTTGAAAATATTAATTTTATAATATTTCTGTAAAATAAATTTCAAATCACAAAGATTTTAGCAAACATGCTAAGCATCAAATCATCGAAATATTTTGTGAACTATAATAGCATGTTATTTTATTATTTAAAATTTATCAAAATAAATAATCATTAATGTCTTCCAAAGGTTAAAATCTTCATGTTTTTTTTTGTAATAAGTTTCCGCATGGTTATTAAATGGGGGTCATTTATAATTATCGCTCCGTAAAATAAGTATAATTTTTTTTCTCTTTATTAAAACTAATCTATAAAAGACAACTTATAGACATCTAAATTTAGATGAAAAAATATTATCTATGCACGATCTATTTTATGCATTTAATATGCATCTAAAACAGAGCAAAAATAGTATCTCTAGAATCAGACGTCTTTTTGATCTCTAATATGCGTCTAAAATATACGTATCGGCAATAGATACAAATTAGACCATTTTTAGACGGTCTGAAAGACGTCTATTGTTTGCTGGGTATATATATATACATATATATATTTAAACAAATTAAAATGTATTATAAAAAAAGAGTGCTCAATGTTCTTAAATGTTCAGAGTAATTAAAAGTAAGTAAAAAATCACTTAGCAAAATTTTTAGTCATTTAACACTATGTTTCATCAGTAAATTTCTGATGAGTCTTTATTGAAACACAGTGTTAAATGAGAAAAATTTTTGCTAAGTGATTTTCTACTAATATATATATATATATATATATATATATATATATATATATATATATATATATATATATATATATATATATATATATATATATATATATATATATATATATATATATATATATATATATATATATATATATATATATAATATACATATATAATATATATATATATACATATATATATTATATATATACATATATAATATATATATACATATATATATATATATATATATATATTATATATATATATATATATATATATATATATATATATATTCATATATATATAATATATACATATATATATATACATATATATATATATATATATATATATATACATATATATATATATATATATATATATATATATATATATATATATATAATATCATATATATATATATATAATATATATATATATATATATATATATATATATATATATATATATATATATATATATACATATATATATATATATATATATATATATATATATATATATATATATATATATATATATATATATATATATATATATATATATATATATATATGTATATGTATATATATGTATATATATATATATATATATAAATATATATACATATATATATATATATATATATATGTATATATATATATATATATATATAATCTTACTCTAAGCATTGCCTAAAACATTTTATTTTATATATTGTAAATATACAGAGCTGTTAGTCCTGGCCTTGCCTGAAGGCCAAAAATTAGGTTCTTGGCCTTGCAAAAGTTTTTATTTAAAAATTGTGAAAGTTCTATAAAAAGAAGTATATAAAAAATGTTTTTTAAATGCAATGAAGACAATAACATTTCATTTGACAACTTATATTTAATGGTAAAAAATAATATTACATTTTTAAATTTTTACGTATTTTTGTTTTTGGCTTTACTACTATCTCTTTTTTAATATATTTTCTTATTGACAATATATACGCATAACCTTCATTTAATTTTGAACATGCGGATTTGCTGTTTGCAGATCAAAATTTAAGTTTTACCTTGTGAAAAACCTGGATAGGCCAATTACCTTCTCCTTGGCTTCAAAACTCTTGTCCTTGTCCAGGACTTTGTAGCCTTGGCCTTTGATCATGTGGCCTCGTCCTTAGAACATGATTTATATATATATATATATATATATATATATATATATATATATATATATATATATATATATATATATATATATATATATATATATATATATATTTATACATATATTATAAATATAGTCATTAGCCATTAGAGGTCTTCCATTAAGTATAAGTGCAGGTATGGGGGCAGGAGTTTATCCAAAAACTTATGAACGCGTACAAGAGATAGAGAGAGAGAGAGTGAGGGGTTAAAGACACCAAGTATGTACGTGGTGTGACTAGTTCTCATTCTCTATTTAATTGAAAACTTGATTTCTTTTTTGTTAACAAAAGCATAGAGTTTCTTGAGTTTAAAAAATTATCATTCTGTTAAGTAACAAAACTAATAATTCTGTTATGATTGATGTCAAAATAACTAAAATTTTTTGCTTTTAACGCTTTGAAAAAATTTATGCGTTAGAAAAAGGTTGGGGGAAAGGGGTTGATTTTGTATTAATAGATACGCATGTAGCGAGAGGAGTAGTGGGGGCATAAATACTATACAGGTGTGTACAATGGGAAGAGGTTCCTAATTCAGTGGTTTTACTGCATAAATAGTATATGTATGCCCCCTAAGATTTCCCTGTGAAATCTTTCAAGTTTCGTAAGTTAGCTGACTTCTGTAATCTAAAAAACAACGTCACAACAAATGTAATGGTTTCACAAATATTGTCAATAACACACTAAATTGGCCAGAGAACCATATTTACACATTTATGGATTTATGGTTTGGCAGTCTGTAAATGGTTAAAGACTAAATTCACAAAGTCTATAGTATTGCTTAGATCTCAAAATATAATCTTTATTACAATTTTTTTTATTACAATTTTTTATTCTAAAATATGTATACTTAATAACTAAACCAATAAAGAAGTAATATGATGTAACTAAATGCAGTTAAAGAAAAATAAAAAATAATATTCAAGTAAATATAAAAAAAAGTTACAAGACCAAGGACAAGGTCAAGATTTTTGAGGTCAAGGCCAAGATTAGGAGTTTCACGGCCGAGACATACGCCAAGATTTTTAAGACTTAAGTCTTCAATTTTTGCAATGAGTTATGTCCAATTCTTCTCAAAACTATAAGTAGCAAATACTGTGAAAATAAAACCACGTTTTGTAAAATTAGACTAGGGTTATTTTGCAGACTTCAACAAAATCAATAAAAAAATATGTATTTTTATAAAGGCTGAGGCCAAAACAATCAAAGCCAAAGCTAAAATTTTTAAGACAGAGGCCAAGGCCAAGGCCTAACAACTCTGAAATTTATGCTATGCTATCTTAAAAGCTTTTTTTTACAAGCATAGCTAATTGATTTGCGCTTTCCTTATACTTTTGGAACTTCTTAAATGATTTATGTTTAAAAATTTCACTGATTTAATTTTTGTTATGAATGCTTTGTAAAAAGTTTGTTCAAATAAACTTTCAAATAAAATGATTGCCATAGGCTTGTTAACTCTGAGAATACAAAAGGGAGAGATTCGTTCCAATTTTATAAACTTATGCATGACATTCAAAAAATAAATATTGGAAAACCTTTCCCACTTAATAAAACTATTTAAGAGGGGATTGCTTTAGGACTCTTAGAGCTGCACTTATGTTAGAGATGACACCTAAAGCAGCAATTATGTTAAAAAAGAAATGCCCTTGTCTTAATGAAAAAGAGGTTTTAGTTTATAACAGAATTTTAGATGCATGGAACTCAGTTTCAATTAAAGGTGCAACAGCAAAAACAGCTTTTATTTTATAGCTAAGTAAGAATCAAACGTAACTGCTGTAATGCTATAACAAATAGAGTGCAAAACAACACATTCACTGGTTCTGCCTAACACAGCGTAAGCTACTACTAGTATTACTACTAACATGTACTTAATTAACATGTTCATATTAGTATTTTAAATATG